AATCAGACTTTTCCGGGCCACCAGGGCCTGCAGGCTGAGAAGGAGGGGTGTTTTTATTGTTAGATTGAGACATAGGGGAAAACCAAGTCAACCAGTGACAATGAAAAGTGGCGAGAATGTGGATGGAGAAAAAAAGAGGACCATTATGCTGGCGTTCTGAAACTAAATGGGCTACCGGAGTCTGAAAGAAAGAGATCCCATCACGTAGATTGTGTTTGAAAGCAAATTTTTGGTCTACAGAGGGATCGCAAGGCCTCTTCAGGTCCTTGATGACAGCAAAATCTCAGGAGGGTATTTCATTCACATTGACCTAACGGAGCATCGGCATCTCGGCTGATGAACATTTGAACATTTAGAAATTCCTAGATTTGTTCCAAATCCTTACGGGAAGTCACCCACTTAAACATACAGAATTGGGGAGATAACAAAAGTTCCCACACATAGTTTGCCAGCCGTCTTGCTTGTTCTTCCAACTTTAAGGTTTAAATTTGTCTTTGTTTGCACTTAAGAGTTCTGGATATTTGCGTGAGGTAGTGATATTAACTCCTGTTGGATATTGGAACGAACAAGCAAGGACGGCTGATTAGGAGCCTGGGCAAATGTGAGCTAGTGTGAGGGGTAGATCATAAAGATAAAGAATATTACTTATCCTGGCCCTACCACGTGTGATTTGTGATCACTTACAGAACCAGGGTTCAAGAGTTCGCCCAATCATGAAGAATCGAGATTTTAAGCCATTTATCAAGCCATCCAGGCGCAGTTCAAGTCAAGTTGAATATCTCGGGATTTACATATGGCTTGCCCTGTTGTGCAGCACAAAATGTGGCCAATGTTAATCTTCCATGTCGCAGACTTAATTATGGGGCTACATGGTCTAGTAGCATGATTCCTCCTTCGGGGTTCATAGCCGCCGCTTGATGAGTCAAGCACGAATGGAGGAGGTCCTGGGTTCAATTCCCAGTGTGGCCCATTTCGTCGACTATCTTTTAGATTATATATGCGAACCTGTAGTGGGTCTAACTTACGACAGCTTTCTGTGTTCGCAATATACCCTCTGGTAGTTATTCCGCTCGTTATTTATAGTCACACGCTATGAATGCTTCATTTTCAAGTACTTATCAGCACAAGGGGGCCTATGTAGAATTGACATCAAACATGAAGCCGAAGAGGAGCAACCTCGGCCTGATGTATTTTCCTACTTAGCCAGAACCTAACAATCGATCTAGGCAATTCCATTGACCAACGGAATCGAAATCATCGGCAGTATTGCTGGGGAAGACGGGTATAAGAGTTAATGACAAATATTCAATACATATGCCTGACCGCTTCAAAACCAAGAGTAGGAATGTGAATACTTATTAGCTATATACAGAGATACAGTAGTTGCTTGACGCAGAAGATAGAATAGATATTTGAACCAGACCTCAATTGGCTCTCCTAACAATAAGAGGTACTTTCGCCCCGTCTTGGCCTGCAACCTTTGGCCGGGCAAGAATAGCCCTGTGGTTTTCAATCATTGTCGAGGGACCATTGGGCAATTCGAAAGAAAAATTGTGTATCAGCACTGAGAGAACCGCCTATAAGAAGTCACTCATCAATCAACCTCTCTAACATTCAAATGAAATGTTTAGTACCTTAAATTCTGTGAACGCAAATGCTCTTCCAAGACAAGTTCTCGGGCCTTCAATGAAGGTGAGAATATGATGCTGAGCTTGTATTTCCGCTGCTTTCAGGTTACTGATGCCACTATCTAACCATCGTTCGGGAGAGAAAGTTTTGGAATTTGGGCCCCACAGAAGCTCTGAGCGATTGAGACACATCACGGGGATGCGGACCAGCGTCCCTTTGGCGATGAAAATGTGATCGATGGAGTTTCCGTCAGCATCTTGTATTGGCACCGCTAGATTGATTATATCGTCTTTGTCAGCCTGGGATATAACAACGGTCAGACAATGTTGGAAGTCGGAGAGTGCCCCACATACCACACGGTTCATTTCGGGCAAAGCTGGGTGGAGTCGCATGGTTTCACAAGCGACGGCATCAAGGTAAGGTAAACTGGCCGACAGTTGATCGTATGTTGGGTCTTCGTCTGAGAATTGCTGTAATTCCCTCCGCAGTTTCTCTTGCACCGCAGGATTGCGACATAGTTCGATTAGAGCCCACTTGAGTGCAAGTCGCTAAGACATCTTTTGCAAAGAGTTTTAATGACATACCGTTAAGCTATCTGTTAATTTGAGTGCCAGTTTAGTAATATAGGTGCGAATGACAAGCTCGCATACTTACATGACGTTGTCTCATAGCCGGCCAATATGAGAAGATTCTACGGACAATAGTTTGTACCCTCCAATCACAGATGAGGTTATCCAAGCATACCATCTAATAAGAATGAATCAACTAAGCCAAGCTAGAAGAGTGAGAGGACATACTTGTGCAATAATTTCATCAATAGATAAGTGTATACTTGAGCTTGCCGTCTCGGACCTAACTTGACGCCAATGGCCGTATTAACTTCCAATGAGAAATGTACCGTCACAATACATACTGAGTGTTCCGATAATGGAGTCATCCGCCTGAGCTTCCGATACATCCACCGACTTCTCTGTGCGCGCTCTCTTGAGAAGGTCGTCCGCGATTGTACTGATACTTTGTGGAATGGACTTGAACATCTTATTCCGCTTAGTTGGAAGTTTCAGCAAGGCTGGGAACGTAGAGGCCAAAATAAACATGAACATAGACGCAACGGATGGCTTTGTTTGACTGAAAGAGTCAAATGCCTCAGCAATAGGACTTGTCTTCCCTCTGAGTGACCCAAAGTCATGCCCAAAGCCACCTATGCCGATGCTATCGAGCATATAAACAAGCATGGTATTTAGGCATGGATGTGCATTTGAGATTTCGGATAGACGCACGAAATATTATTCATGCTAAACAAATGGAATGAGCAAGTTATTACCTCCATCTGAGATGTTGCAAACTTGCCATTGCTGTACCTCGACAACAATAGTATCACTCGGTGATCTTTGAAAGGAGGAATCCCAATTATCCTTTAGCTAAAAGGGTACCTATCATTGGCTCAATAACAATGAAGGAAAATGAAGCTTACTGTGTACACGGAATCATAAAAGACAGAAGTCAGTTTGCGAATCGCTGCGTTGCTGAAGGCAAACGACAATGCACGTCTCTGCCTGAGAGGAATCAAACCAGTTCAGTTGTGATGCTAACAGAAAGAAGTAAATAAATAAACCTCTTGTGCACTTCTCCTTCCGAAAACAAGAGATGCCGACCCTATATAATTCACTGTTCTTAAAATGGGATCAATGAAGTTGAAAGATGTAACTCACAAACAGCCCAAACAAGATCCGCAGATTTGGTGGTTGCCGGTACGTGAAGGTATCCTTAGAAAAGACATGGGAAACTGCCTTCGGATCACAAATAACAACGGTCTTGGAACCCATGGTTCCAGGTACGGCGAACGCAGGTCCGTACTTTTTCTCAAACTCCTCATAGACAATGCCAATGTCAGGAAGCTCAAAGAGCTCGCGAGTGAGCCCAAAGACATAGCTTTTACTTGGTGGTCCTTTCAGATGTGTGGTTTGGTGTTTGGGTGCTCGTAAAAGCCTAGAAATGACGAATGTTGCCACAGAGATGGGCACTATAGTCTTGATAGCTGTACCAGAAGGCAACCCAAGACAGGTTTCGACCGCCTCAATAAGCTGGGTTAATGCCCCCATGGCTACAAGAAAAGCAAGGGAAGATCAGAAGTCGTCGATTGTCAGCACAGCAGCCCCCTTATATCATGATGGATCACCAACGTCATGTGCAGTTCTCCTATATCTTCCGTGGACAGCCGGGCTACTCCGTTGGAGACGGGTAGGTAGATGTGCTCACTGCGTATGGGGAATGGGAAGGATGGTTCTATTCCGTAAAGTTCGGGCTTCTATCTACTGGCACTTGCCACTATACTATCTAATCCATCTATGTTGCAGGTCCAGCACGAGAGCTGGTTTTTTGGGTAGAGCGCTTTTTTACTCGTTTACAGGATGTGAAGAAATCCGCGTAAGCTGCGATACCCAGCATTTTCCAGAAGCTTTGCGACGCGTCCAGCCGCAGACACCCCCCAAAAGAAAACAGGAGCAAAGCCACTCACATCATCTCGGTGGAGGAATCTCCATGGTCAACCTCGTGAATTCCTCCAGAGCTGGGGACGCTTGCAGGTAAGTGGCAATGACCACGGCATGTTCTATCAGATATCTGGTGAAAGCCTCACTTGACCAGCGACCCATATCTTGAGCAGTGGTTCGGATAGGCATGTGAGAGCTCGGGAACGTTGCCAGAGAGAAGGCTAATGGTTTAGATAAACCTCAGTGGATGGTAAACACTAATGAATATAATCTGTACCTAATGGTTTAGATAACTACGAGGTATGAGTAAGAGTAACAAGTGAAATAGTAGTATTGACTTACACCTCAGTGGATGGTAAACACTGAGGTGTCCAGGCACAAAAAGTAAAGAATAAAACAGGAAGCAAATGATTGGTACTTATAGTCGGGTATGATCCTCGTATCCTCAACACACCCTCTTGAGGTGAACACCAAGTAGCTTTTGGAAGTGCTCAAACTTGACATGCATGAGAGCTTTGGTAAAAATGTTGGCAATCATCTCAGAAGTTGGACAGTAGAGGATGCGAGCGATGTTGGAAGTGACAGTTTGATGGATAAAATGAAAATGAATGTCGATGTGCTTTGTGTGGCCATGGAAGGTGGCGTCCTTGGAGAGCCTGATAGCACCTTGGTTATCACAAAGGAGAGTCATAGGAATAGAGAGAGGGTAAAAGAATGAGAGTTCTGTAAGTAGTTTCTGGATCCGAATCACATCCTTGGAGGCATGCATCAGGACAACATATTTGGCTGGATTGCTACCACCAAGAATGAGCTTATAACCTGCTGTTCTATGGAGATATCAAAAAACACAGGTAACAGCAGTCATGTGTGTGGTTGTTGGGATTTTGAGGTATTGGAATAGCATTGAGACTGCATAGGAAATGTCAGGATGTGTCATGATGGCTGCATACATGAGAGAGCCTATCATTTCATGGTAACAAGTCTTTTCTCTGGGTTTGAGAAGGTTGGGAGAGATGGATGAGGAGTCAGGAGTGAAATTGGTGCAGGCTTTCATGGGGGCAATGGCAACACAAGCCTCAGATAGATCAAAATGTTTAACAATCTACTCAATGTAAGCTTGTTGACCAAGCGAGATTGTGCATGCATTGAGATCATGAGTGAGACTGACTCCAAGAAGCCAGTTGATGGGACCAAGATCAACAATCTCAAAGCATTCAGAAAGCTGTTTCTTAATCAGCGTAGTTGTCTTGGTAGAGTTCCCAATGATGGTGAAATCATCTTTGGCAACAGCAAGGACTGTGTACTTATCACCATTGAATTTGTAGAATATGTTAACATCTCAGATGTAGCATGTATATCCAAAGCTAATGAGTGTGGCGCAGATCTCTTCATACCAGTGGTGAGCTCCTTGTTTGGTACCATAGATTAAATACTTAAGTTTGCAAACGAGTTTGGAATCAGCAGGCTTAGCAAGTCCAGGAGGTAGATTACAAAAATGTCGATAATGAGGAGGAAACTGCATGTGAATGATTTGGTCATCCTTGAGTTGGGAGTTGAGGTAAGCATTTTTGATGTCTGCTTGCTTAATAGACATGCTGTGTGACGCAACAATAGCTAATAAGACTCAAAGGGTTGTTGCATGGACTGTGGGAGCAAATGTTTTGGTGTAATTGATGCTGAATTGCTGCTTGAATCCTTTAGCAATGAGTCAAGCTTTGTAGCATAGGATTTCACTGTTAGCACCACACTTACAATTTAGCACAAAATGGCAAGGAATTATGTTGGTATTAGGAGGTTTGTGAATTATTTCCCAGGTGTCGAGTTTCTCAATTTGGGTAAGTTCAGTGT